TTATGAGATGCTCTACGGCCGTAAGTGCCGTACTCCCCTCAAGGCTTTCAAAGACTCTCTCCGAGATGCCACCTTCAGTGAGCATCAGAATGTGCCCCAGTTTCTTCAAAACCTTCAACACATTCTAGAGAGAGTCCACCGTTTTGCCCATGATAATCTATTGAAAGCACAGGAGAGGATGAAGACTCATTACGACCAGACCAGCAAAGTAAGAAAATTTAAGCCGGGAGACTTCGTGCTAGCATACTTCCCTATCCCAGGTTCTCCTTTACAAAACAGGTTTTCAGGACCCTACCGCATCAAGGAGTGCAGAAACAACCATAACTACGTTCTAGAGACTCCAGATAGGCGGCGGAAGACCCAGCTGTGCCACGTCAACCTCCTGAAGCTATATAATGGTACTCCTCCCACTGTCATGATAAATTATTCTACTTTTACAGAACCATACATCCACAGTGAGACCTTCCCAGCTTCTCCTCCCGAAAGCACTGACAAGGAGTCAGCGCTTTCTAATTCAGAAATCCTTAATGATCTTCCCAAATACTTTCAGGATAATCATAGTGCACCTCTTGTCAAGATCTTCAGAGAACATCAGGAGTTGTTCCGAGATGACCCCCAAGAGTGTAATGTTACCCAGCACGACATCCAACTGCTCCCCGACACCCGGCCGATTCGTCAACCCTTCTACCGAATCAGCCCTAGCAAGAAGGAAGTCATGCGTGCTGAGGTGCAGTACCTCTTGGATCATGGACTGGCTACACCTTGTGAGTCCCCCTGGGCCTCACCCTGTATCTTGGTGCCCAAACCCCAAGGTAAGGTGCGGTTATGTACTGACTATCGTAAACTAAATAACGTAACCGTCAAGGATGCATACCCCTTGCCAAGGATAGATGACATTCTAGACGCCATTGGTAATGCCCAGTACTTGTCCCAAGTGGACTTGCTGAAGGGGTACTATCAAGTGTGTCTAACGGAGCGAGCTAAAGAGATATCTGCCTTTATCACTCCTTTTGGACTTTTCAGATATGAACGCCTTCCTTTCGGACTATGTAATGCCCCGGCCACCTTTCAGAGAGCTGTCAACCGTGTCATCCAGGGCTTGGATAACACATACGCCTACCTGGATGATATCGTCGTAGCATCCAACACCTGGAGTGAACATCTGCTCCAGCTGCGACGTCTGTTCTCCAAGCTCCTGACAGCCGGCCTCACCATCAACCTGGGCAAGTCCACCTTCGCGAAAGGTAAAGTGCGTTATCTGGGTCATGTTATTGGGAGTGGCAGCCTAGCTCCGTTAAACTCACACACTCAAGCCATCCAACATTATCCACAGCCTACCACCAGGAAGCAGCTCCTGCGCTTCCTTGGTCTTGCCTCCTACTACCGTAGGTTTGTGAGAAATTTCAGTACAGTCGCCACACCTCTAATCCTATTAACCAGTCCCAAGCAACGGTATAAGTGGACCATGCAGCAAACCGTTGCTTTCGAACAACTCAAATTCCTCCTCTGTTCTAATCCCATTCTCGCCTCGCCAGATATCACCAAGCCTTTCGTCCTTCATGTCGACGCCAGTGGTACCGGCGTTGGTGGTGTCCTGATGCAGCAACGAGGCGAGGAGGTTCTACCTGTCAGCTACTACAGCTACAAATTGAAACCACACCAGAGGAACTACAGCACTATTGAAAAGGAGCTACTATCCATCGTCCTGAATCTCCAACACTTCGCTCCGTACCTACATGGCGCCAGGTCTACCACCATCTTCTCAGACCACAACCCTCTCCGCTTCCTACATCAAGCCCAATTCACTAACCAGCGTCTTCTACGATGGGCTTTGTATTTACAAGATTTCAACCTGGAGATCCGCTATATCAAGGGTTCTGACAACATCATAGCCGATGCCCTCTCCAGAGTTTATGAAGTAGAAGCGACTCCATCTATTACTCCACCACATAACGACGTACTTCTTCCAGAACCGCAGGCTTTGGGGAAGAGTTGTGACGATAATCTCCTTCAAGAGATTGAGCCTGCTCTTCCCTCCTAAGTACGTCCCTTACAACAATAACAACTAATATAGAAGATATATCCAACAAGTACAACACCAAGGTTTGCCCTGAGAGCAAACGTATTCAGCACCAGGAACACCTGCTCCACCTCCGCCACTCGAACCAGCAAACTACTTGTCCGTCGCCTGCACATCGCTGATTGGCTGGTGCCATCGCACCTGCTCCCTCCACCCGCCACACTACCTGATGTCTGAGGCCACCACGACCTACAGCCCTCAGAATATCCCGTGCTTTCCACAAGTTAACACGTCTCATTGGTAGACTAAGCCCTGGCTTACGTGTACTAAGAGAGGTGGCAGCTTAAAGCCAATATTCCTGCACTCATATATCTCCTTGTATATTATTCACTTGTCTTAACGTAACTTTTCATTTTGCCAGTGATTATTCTTATTATTTTGTTTGATTGATTTATGTTACAATTTTTATGTCCATTTTATTCATGTTTTGCTTTTCTAACGTAATTAAAATTTCATTGTTAAATTTACTTGTGTTTTGTGTGTCTTCCCATTACCTTACCACAGACGAAAGTTCCAGATTTTCTCTTTTTGTTTCTTTATGTGACGAGGCCATACCCCTAGCTTTTGAAACAGCCGAACACCAACGCGTTACCGTCACAATATATATATATATATATATATATATCACGGAGGAAAATGAAACAGGAATTTCCTTAAGTACTTTCGTATATTAAATACATCTTTCAGAAGGTCACCTTCTGAAGATGTATTTAATATACGAAGGTACTTAAGGAAATTCCTGTTTCATTTTTCCTCCGTGGTCTGACATTGTCACTTCTAATCACGTGTTTATTTTCGTGATATACACACACACATATATATATATATATATATATATATATATATATATATATATATATATATATATTATTATATATATATATATATATATATATATATACACACATAATTATGAATGATTTCCTCCAAGATACATCCATGTAAAACCAAGCTCAGAAAAAATCCTCTTGATTAAATCATCAAGACCTTCATCAGCCACATCAGAAGTGATAAGAAATCCAAATGATCGTCCTTACCAGGTTACTACGTCATGTCCTTCCTTGCCGTACCTTAGGCTTATGAGTCTTGACCAAGCCTTAACTATGCCCTGAGACCTATCATCAGTTCTGTGGGTTCCATTAATTACAAACTCTCTAAATGGCTTACCATTTAGGAATTGGAGTCCCAATTGTTAGGAGTTATTTCATGTTTGCATTTGACTAGTTCCATGGAATTAGTTTTTATGGATTCCTTGGATTTAGCAAATTTAACAATGTTTCAATAAATCCTGATGAAAAATTAGTTGGTTTTGATGTCTCCTCTTTAATTGCCAAAGTTCGTATTAATGATATTCTTTGTTTCCTTGCTCATGAATTACTGAACCATGAATTATCTCTGTTTTCTGATATTATTGTTACTCTTGTAAATCTATGTGTAAAGGAATGTAAATTAATTGTTAATAATGAATGTTATTAACAGACTTTTAGAATGTAATAGGGAAATCCACAATTTATAATGTTTTTTTTTTTTAAATACCAATATGAATATAGAATTTAACAATTAATTATTTGTAAAATGAATCCTGGAATCATTCCATGGGTTAGGTATGTTGATGATATTTTGTGTATTTGGCCATCAAATGTAAATTCAGGCGAGATTTAAGCAAGACTTAATGCTGATTACATTTTTTAATGACTTTAATCATGGGGAAGATTTTTCTCCAAAGTTTAATGTTTACATAAAACCTGCAAACAATTTGTGTTATGTTCATTATTTCTCTGAGCACAGATATGATGTTGAACCACCAGTTTTTTCCCTCTTTGCATCTAAGAGCTCTTCGAATTGTTAACACGGCGTTCTTAGATGAATAGTTTGAAAATATGTATATTATTGGATTCAAGCTTTGTTATCCAGTAAGCTTTTTGAATGTTTGTCATAATAAAGCTTAACATTCATGTTATCACAAAATCTGCACTGAGAAAATTCATTCAAATATGGTCACATGCTAACTGTGTTTCTAATGGTTCGAAAATAATATCAAGTCCTTGAAACTTGTCGAGCTACATATGTTGTTTAATTATGAAAATAAAATAATAAAATTATTAGTCAAAATCGACCCTCGCAGTGATAAGTGTATCATTTACAAAATATCTTGTAAAGATTATAATATATTCTACATAGGTTAAACATCCAAAGATTTGAAATTACTAATTTCGCAGCATAAATATTATGTAAAAAACAACCATTTATTGAATACTCAGTATGACCATTTGTCAAAAAATTCTTGCCAGACTAGTTGGGAAAGGTCTTATTCAAGAATTAATTGTAAAATTATATTTTAATAGAAACATTATTGAATTTGCTTTAATGCTATTTATAAAATCATACAATAAGAATATTAGTAACGGTTTGTGGTAATCTGGATCCGGTTTTTATTAATCAATTAAAATTATCTTAATAGGATCAAAAATGCATAGTTAACCCACTTGGGATATTCCAGGAACTCACATGTCATTAAGGCTTCTGCAGTTTTTCGTTGTTCTAATGTCTAAGAACCAATATTAAATAGACTTTTTTTTGTCACCTCACATGAAAATATTAAATAGACTTTTTTTTGTCACCTCACATGAAAGGGAATCTTTAAAGATCTGTAGAACAGATACAACTAATATTTTAGATATTTTTGCAAGGTCACTATTGTTTCCTATTGTGTACATTGTTTTTGCAGTCATCACATTAAGGATAAACATCCAATGTTTTCGTCAAACATATTTGTGCAGAAGCGAACTTATTGATGATCTTTTATTTACGTAGCTCTGTCACGAGCAAGAAAGATTGTTTTAAATATTATATTCAGAATTAATTAAAGTTTTAAAACCTCTCTGGTCTTTGCGTATAATGAATGTTTGGAAAGGTTTTCTCACATTTTCAAAATATCTGGTTGCTGGAAGGCACCTGGCAGGCACACAAGGCTCCCTGCTGGAAGAACTTCAGCTGGTGAAGTCACAGGGATCTTCACAACTGGTGAGGTCACAGGGATCTTCACAGCTGGTGAAGTCACAGGGATCTTCACAGCTGGTGAAGCCACAGGGATCTTCACAGCTGGTGAAGCCACAGGGATCTTCACAGCTGGTGAAGCCACAGGGATCTTCACAGGGTTGGTGAAGTCACGGGGATCTTCACAGCTGGTGAAGCCACAGGGATCTTCACAGCTGGTGAAGCCACAGGGATCTTCACAGCTGGTGAAGCCACAGGGATCTTCACAGCTGGTGAAGCCACAGGGATCTTCACAGCTGGTGAAGTCACAGGGATCTTCACAGCTGGTGAAGTCACAGAGGTTTTCACATCTAGCGAAGCCACAGGGATCTTCACAGCTGGTGAAGTCACAGAGGTTTTCACATCTAGCGAAGTCACAGGGATCTTCACAGCTGGTGAAGCCACAGGGATCTTCACAGCTGGTGAAGCCACAGGGATCTTCCACAGCTGGTGAAGCCACAGGGATCTTCACAGCTCGTGAAGCCACAGGATTCTTTCACAGCTGGTGAAGCCACAGGGATCTTCACAGCTGGTGAAGGCCACAGGAATCTTCACAGCTTGTGAAGCCACAGGGATCTTCACAGCTGGTGAAGTCACAGGGATCTTCACAGCTGGTGAAGCCACAGGGATCTTCACAGCTGGTGAAGCCACAGGGATCTTCACAGCTGGTGAAGCCACAGGGATCTTCACAGCTGGTGAAGCCACAGGGATCTTCACAGCTGGTGAAGCCACAGGGATCTTCACAGCTGGTGAAGCCACAGGGATCTTCACAGCTGGTGAAGCCACAGGGATCTTCACAGCTGGTGAAGTCACAGGGATCTTCACAGCTGGTGAAGCCACAGGTGTCTTCACAACTGTTGAACTTCACCCCGGCTTTCGTCCTTAACCCCTCTAAGTGCGAAATTATTTCATCCAGGAAGGCAGTCATTATTGCAGTGAAATCAGCTTTACCAGAAGCCTCAGTCATTGAACCCACCGACAGCACACTACTTGGAGCACCTCTGGGTCACAACGCCATTATCGCAGTCCTCGTGGCAAAAATTCAATGCCCTAAAGAGGATGAAAGAGAAAATATGGGACTTGGACTCCCATGATGCCCTGTACCTTTTCACAAAGTGTCTTCCCGTACCGAGGCTAACGTACATTTTAATTAAGGTGTGCCCCCACTTTGAGCAAACCACTACTAAGTCAATATAATTAGCTCCTTTTGTAAATATTCAGGAAGACACTTAACATAGCCTTAGACAGTTAGTGGGACGGAACAACGCAACAGTTACACTTGGGGGTCTAGACATACGCACTGCAGCTGAGGTAGCATTTCAAGCATTCATATCCGCATGCATCGCTGTCAGCAAGTTAGTAGGGAAGATGCTACCAGAGCGCATGAGAGACTCAGCGGGACCTCATGATCCGAAGGTCATCGAAGGAGCCAGTCAATGGAAAACCACTGCACATCCTCTACCCCGACCACAAGCCCCAAAACACCACAGACAGGCCAACAGGGATAGTCCCATAATGGACTATCATAAAGCCCCAAGAATATGTGAATGAAAATACTGTTAATGCTGCGAATTCCAGTGTTTCAAAAACCCATTTTCGGCGTCAATCCAGTCACTAACTGATTTCTTTCAATATTTTCTAGTTCAGAATTTAAGTCGACAAATTTTTGCATCCAAAGTGAGCTGTTTTGTAAATCAATCAATTGTATCTCTTTATTATTCATTGCATTATTCATTGCAATATTATTCAAATGAATCCACGGCAACGTTTCCAAATTCATTTTGTCTGATGTTACACTGTACATTTTATGAAGGTGGCAGTTTCTTTAAATAACCTAAATTTAGCCAATCTTGAAAAAGGTTAAACAAACCAATGAGGCTCGAAAATTGCTTTTGATGCCTGTGAATATCTGTTTCTCTTGAAATTCAAGATGTTCATATGTTCTATAAGTTTGGGTGGGAAAAAATTAAAAGTGCCATTAAAAGCGTCACATTTATAAATTTTCACTTTAATATCAAAGACTTAGTGTTAATATCATTTAAATTTTAGAAGAACATGTCTACATATGCAATTAACTTTAGATAATTCTTGATAAGAACGTTTCTATTTCGTCAAAAACTGACGAATGTGGGAAGAATGCCTGGATTTTATAATGAGAATTTGTTAGGACTTGAAATTTAGTACTGTATATATAACTTTAAAATAAGCATGCAAAACAAATTAACTATATCTAAAGTCCTAAGTTTGGGTTGTAAATCCAACTCAAGTCCTAGGAAGGAAAGTGGGCTGTAGAGGGCAGATAAGGAATTGTGGTGGTCTTTACCTACTGCGAACATTTTGTTCACTTAGATATATTATTAGCTATTAGGCTAGGTTATGGGTGAATAGAGCTCTTGATTGGAGAACCACAATCTACCTGCAGGCATTTCGACACATCAGCATTGTATTTTATACAAAGGAAAAATGATAAACACAGCATGATTGTAAGTATTGGTTCCGTTTAATAATCAAATGATCAGAACTCTGTACACAGTCTAGCCTAACGCTGAGATCGTGCTGCCAATAATGAAAAGATTATAGGAGATATAATAACAAGTTAGTTTATATGAGCAAGAGTTATATGCTAATATTCGTGCAAAAAATATAAATTAATGATTATTGTGATAGCAATTGATTATTTGATGAATTGTAGAATATTATATATTCATGATGTTTTATATATATATATATATATATTATATATATAATATATATCGGTATATATAGGAAGGGAGTACCACCTCTAGCTGGAAGAAGGGGGACCCATAGCCTCGGAGGAAACCACGCATAACGCATTAGAGGGAATGTTTAGATCCCCTCCAATACAGTTTCTGTGTGCTTTTCTCCTACCACCCCCTTCCTTGAATATTTTTTGTGCTTTATTATGCATTTGATGGTTACGATGGTTTGATGGTTACGATGATTTGATGGTTAATTCAAATATCAATTCTCCAAAATTCATTTTTTATTTCTAGTCTGACGCGACCACAGGCGGCGCGTTCGCAAAACTTATTACATTTTCAAAGACTTCACAAATACAACAACTGATTAGAAACTTACGTATCTCTGATTTTATATCTACATTTGAGTGAGGTGGGAGGGGTGATGTGGCATTAACACAAGACAGAAACAAGAGGGGATATTTAATAGGGTATAAGTATCAACACAAGACAGAACATGAAACAATGGGTATTGAATAGAAGTGTTTGTAGAAAGCCTATTGGTCCATATTTCTTTGATGCTTCTATATTGGAGCGGAGTCTTGAGGTGGGTAGAATATAGTTGTGCAATAATTGGCTGTTGATTGCTGTGTTGACTTCTTGATGGTAGTGCCTCGCAAACGTCAAGCCGCCTGCTATCGCTGTATCTATCGATGATTTCTGTTTTGTTTACTAGGATTTCTCTGGCGATGGTTTGGTTCATGGGAAGAGATTATGTTCCTTAATGGAGCCCTGTTGCTTATGCATCGTTAAACGCCTAGAAAGAGATGTTGTGTCTTGCCTATATACTGGTTTTTTTGGAGCTTACAGTCCCCAAGAGGGCATTTGAAGGCATAGACGACGTTAGTCTCTTTTAAAGCGTTCTGTTTTGTGTCTGGAGAGTTTCTCATGAGTAGGCTGGCCGTTTTTCTGGTTTTATAGTAAATCGTCAGTTGTATCCTCTGATTTTTGTCTGTAGGGATAACGTTTCTATTAACAATATCTTTCAGGACCCTTTCCTCCGTTTTATGAGCTGTGGAAAAGAAGTTCCTGTAAAATAGTCTAATAGGGGGTATAGGTGTTGTGTTGGTTGTCTCTTCAGAGGTTGCATGGCGTTTCACTTTCCTTCTTATGATGTCTTCGACGAAACCATTGGAGAAGCCGTTGTTGACTAGGACTTGCCTTACCCTACAGAGTTCTTCGTCGACTTGCTTCCATTCTGAGCTGTGGCTGAGAGCACGGTCGACATATGCGTTAACAACACTCCTCTTGTACCTATCTGGGCAGTCGCTTTTGGCATTTAGGCACATTCCAATGTTCGTTTCCTTAAGTGTAGACTGCAGTGTGGAAACCTCCGCCCTTTTCCATGACTGTTACATCTAGAAAAGGCAGCTTCCCATCCTTTTCCGTCTCGTAAGTGAAACGCAGCACGGACTCCGCTCAATGCCTCCTTCAACTCCTGCAGATGTCTGACATCAGGCACCTGTGTAAAAATGTCGTCAACATACCTGCAGATATGGCCGGTTTCAAGTTCATGTCGACTAAGACTTTTTGCTCGATGGTACCCATGTAGAAGTTTGCAACACAGGACACCTAGGGGAGAACCCATGGCGACCCCATCTACTTGCTTATACATGTGCCCATCCTGGCTCAAGAAGGTGCCTCTTTAGTACAAGCTTGGAGTAGTTTCCTCAGATACTTTTCTGGTATGTCAAGAGGAGTACAGGCTGGATCACGATACACTCTGTCAGCTATCATCCCGATTGTCTCGTCCACTGGTACGTTAGCGAACAGCGATTCTACGTCCAACGAGGCTCTTATTCCTGTGGCCCTTGTGACCCGCAGTAAGTCAACAAATTCCTTTGGCGACTTCAGGCTGAAGGCGCAAGGGACATAAGGAGTCAGCAGGCCGTTGAGTCGCTTCGATAGTCTGTACGTGGGTGTGGGTATCTGGCTAATGATTGGCCGAAGTGGGTTTCCAGGCTTGTGTGTCTTGACATTTCCATATGGATATCGAGGTTTATATGGACCAATAGGCTTTGGCAGGTACAATCCTGATTTCTTGGCGTTCACAGTTTCGATTAGCTGTTGACCATTGCTTTCAATTCGGATGAAAGCAAAGCTTGTGTTGATGAAATTAATACCT